CACTAATCAAAGAACATTTTATAAACAAGATCATGGATCATAATAGAATATTTAGTCAAGAGGTTAATATAGGCCAATAGAGATAGACTGATTTGACCTTGAATATACTAAAAACAGAGAATTTTTAAAGGTTCATAATCAATTACCTACATGATGTATCTCTATTAAATTGTGGTTAGCAATCTACTCTCTATATTTTATACAGACATACATTTTATAAAATAAATAAAAAGGGTCAAATTGAAAGTCACTATGAATTATAAACAGATATGAATATCTAATCATATTTCATTGCTGCTAAGTATATACTAATCTAGTTGTAAGTTTAATCATAACAACTATGGGGAAAAGGAGAATCGATTAGATGAAAGTAAATCACATTCTAGTGTTATGATTGGTTTCTTTCTTATCTAGACATGAATCACATTATCCTATGGATAGAACAAAGTATTGAAAACAATAGTGGTAATGTAATCATCATAAAAAATTTTGTGTGTATGTGTGCACGTATGTATGTGTTATATAATGAAATATTAGTTCACTCACACTGTCTAATTGCATTGAAAAACACTTAAGAAACGCATTATATTAAAACAAAGCAAAGTGAAATAACTTACACTACTGAAGGAACTCTAATCCTACATTGACAATATTCTACAAAAGTATGAGGATGTATCGATATACAAAATAATATAAAGTCGAATGCAGTGGAAATTTGCATATTTTAAGCTAACTCAAGTTCATCACAGGCATCCATAATATTTGATACTGTTTATCTAAAAAACAAATTGTTATTCGCTTATTTGACTATTGTCAGCTAAGAGCGAAAACATTTCTAGACAATTCATAGTTCTAGTATGGGACTCCTCAGCAGTGCCCATCCACGATCCCACACCCCGCGAGATTCGAACCCAGGACTTATTAGTCTCGCGCCAAGCGCTTAACCAACTAGACAACTGAGCCGGCGGCGCAACTTCGTGGATTGGTTGAAGTTAGACATTAACACCATTGGATGCCGGCTCAATGGTCTAGTTGGTTAAGCGCTTGGCGCGAGACTGAGAGGTCCTGGGTTCGAATCTCGCGGCGTGCGAGATCGTGGATGCGCACTGATGAAGAGTCCCATACAAGGACGAAACGACCGTCCAGTGCTTCCAGGTTTTCCATGGTGGTCTAGCTTCAATTGACTCATGATTTCAATCTGTGAAATTTCTAAAATCTCCACAAACCCCTTCTGATAATTCATAGTTCGCCAATAATTTCGAGTTGATAATTAATTATAGGACATCAAAAAATATCAACTAGATATAACAATAAGCTTAACTCTAACATCAAACTTTAAGAGATGACTGTCGATAGTACGTGAAACGAAACCTTGTTGTATGGTCATAATTCTCAGAGAAAATATAAAAATCCATTGAATGGAAAGTTACATTTAGAACGGTAAATAAAAAAATTATTTGGGTTAGCTGGAACGGTGGCTTACTTAGTAAGTAACGTCTGAATATATACATCAATACTAGTAATTGTTTTCCTTTATTCAGGTATCTTTCCTTGATATACATTCAGTCAATTAAACAAAAATTAAAAAGTAGAATAAGAGGAAGACATTACATCTTTATCTTCTCAGTAATAAAAGCGTTGAAATGGGATTAAATCCAATGCTGTTAAAACTATTGAAACTCTAAAACTCGACAAAGAATCACTATAGGTCCATCATCAATGTTTATACAAAAATTTAGAACTTTTTATGATATCCGCCAAGTTAGTAGGTCAAGTAAGGAGGGCAATAGTTTCAGTGTTACCTCATATTCGTTCACAAATAGATTATCTGACATATAAAGAGACTATTGGATTCAAATCAAATTGTATAACTCACTATGTGTAAACTCGACTCAATGCTAAACTGTATATGAAAACCAGGAACACTATCCGGTAATTCAAACAGAATTAGGAATTATGATATTTGGACTTTCAACTCGAATAACTGAAACCATGTGTGTGCTTTAACAATAAATTAACAGTTGTCCTTACTTAACAAATATCCATGACACAAACCAAATATAATTTGTACATATTAAAAGTTAGTTAAATGTAAATCGATTTTTGTTGGCCAACACAAACATGGGATCTAAAATGGGACGGTGAAATCATGTCTACCTCACCTCACCCCCCGGAAAAAAGTAGTATAGTTTGTTCAATGAGAATGATTTACTATTCTAATCATTCAACCAAACTACAAAGCTTAAAATAGTATTTTACAACTTTAATGTATTATGATAGAAATTATTTTTAGCTTAGCTTAAATGGAAATAGTGTAGGTTTATATATGTATATGATTGTTTTTAGTTATTTAACGAAAATGTATGTCTATCTGTATAGTTGTAACTAATGTATTTCATACCTTTAAAAGAATAAAAAACGAGACAAATCCTGTTATTTTTCAGTTTCGGTTTCCGAGTATCGATCCCCTAGTAATGATGATGACGTTGCAATGATATATATATATATATATATATATATATATATATATATATTGGCAAACTAAGAAATAGGCTTTACCGATTATCTTCGACGTAAAAAGGTTTTACAAGGTAATATTTAATCGGCAATTCGATAAGTCTTGCTAACTGAACGCTAGACTTGTTCCTAAGCTCTTCTAGTAACCCCCAGGCTAGATTTACACAGCGGTGTGAACACGAGAGAAAAGGCGAGAAATATATGAGAAACACTTTACTCCAAAGGTTCGTTTTTGTACAGAAAATGTAGGGTTTTTATAGTATTTTAGATGTGCTTGGGTCTCCTGAAAATTCTGGAATGCTACTAAACATAGTAGCAATATAAGTAATCATCCAATCAGAAACTCTATATGTGACTTTTCACTTTCTTGATGTTTCTGGCAAAACTTCTAGTGAACGTTGATTGGATAAGATGCTTCTCAGAGTTTTCAGAGCCTTTCTTGGTTTTTTCCAGGAGTTTTCTGGATCTTCCTAACGCAAATAACAGACTATAAACCATTACTTGTTGTATTAAGGTCAAAGAAGGGATTTCCTGCTCACACGGCTAACTGGCTACAACGATAGAGAACTACACTTCTGGTCTACGACTTTAAGATCAAGTACCAGGTGACTACAACTTTTGGACAAGCTGGTGCCTTGTCTAGATTGATAGATTTTCAGACAAAAACTTCAGAAGACATTGTCGCGGTAAACAAAGAAACCGAAAAAGAAGTTCGTCGCATATTGGATGATGTAATCGATGGACTATCGGTTACATTCACAGCTACCATAGAAACCACTGAAAATGGAAAGAGAAGTTAAAGGTTATCTTTTTACTAGATGGTCGAAACGTCGCTTTCAAAGAGAACTTTGCAATACTTTCGTCGATTTCACTCACTGATGGTTGTCGGCTCATGTGCTATGTTGTGATCGACCGAACTACTATCTCAGAATTACTGTGCCAAAAAGTTCCCAAGCCACTTCACAGTCATTACTCTAGGATTAATAAGATGAAATAGTTGGCTTGATCCTACGCTTATTGGCTTTCGATGGACAGAAATATTGACGTAAAATCTCATGACCGTTCATTCTGCCATCAAGTTGTTAAAAACCCTTCGAAATTTGAACCCCAGCAATGACCCAAACCTGTTAGACCCTGTAGGAGGCTTCATACAGATTTCGCTGGTTCAGTTCAAAGAAAAATGTTACTAATTACTTTGGATTCATTTACAAAATGACCAAAAAAATATAGTGTCAAAATATACAGCCGAACAAAACATAAAAAAGTTGTCTGCTTTGTTTGATAGTGCAAAGAACTCTGTGATGTGAATGGCATAACTCAAGCTGTCCACCCTATCATCCTCAGTCTAAAGGATAAGTTGAACGCTTCATGGACATCAAGAGAGTACTGAATAAAGGGAGAGACGTGGGGACATCCAGTCAATCAATCACTATGCTCTTAACACCTAACAGAACAAACTTCAACCCTTTTTGTGCCAGACGAAAATTCACTAACCAAAGTCATGTTTGCAGAAGCACTCGAATGAATTTCAGCGCTATACTACCACCCAAAAAGGTGAATGGCCACGTAGAAGTAGTTATATTCGCGATTTCGACGTAAGGGAAGAGTATTTGACAAACCAGGGTCGAAATTGATGGGAACCAGGGATAATTGTACAAAGAATGGGGAGTTTCGTATAAAGTGCGAGGAGCCTTCGGAACATATATTAAGGATACGAAACAAATTCATAAAGATAAAAGTACGGACGCAAAGAGATGACATCCAACAAGAACCCGATAGAACGTTTTAGAATATCAACATGTCATGATGTGTTTGGACAATCGTATAACTTCTTGATTGTGGATTATGATGGTACAGCGTATACTAAAAACCATAAATACCCCGCCTTTCTGTACAATTTGACACTTAATAAGCACTTTTCCTTCTTTGTTGTTTTACAACTGATGGTTCTACGCGTTTCACTCACGACAGCTATATACTGCATCAGCCGTCATCTAATAGAGAACGTAACAAACTTAACATTAATATCGGTACGTTTCCTAAATAATTTAGTTGTACATGTTGGTCAAATCAACTTGACCTAGTGATATTGTAGATTGTATGCATACATTAAATTACTGGTCGATCAATATCAAGTGGTGCCCCGGTTGGATTGTACTTGAATTGGATTACTAGCTAGGTAATCAAATGATATATATCTCACCAATTTTCTAAGCAGTTCTAATCAGTTATGAATCAGCGGTTGGTGCATAACAAACTATTTATCTGCAGTCTCACTGTTTTTCCATGAATCGAGCAGTGCCGATCTTTGTTTCGGTTATATGTTAGGAAATGATGGTTGTGTCTGCAATAATAGTAAATATCATTACTAGTATTTCATCAAGTCATTACATGCTTAAAATTAATTTTTCGTAGTTATGGTCTTTTTCATTCAATGAAAACATAAAAAATAAACTTTAACAATAAAGAACCTCGAAACTAACCTCAAATGACTTTCTGAATTCTCGTAAATGTTTAATACGAAATAAGTACAGTCCTTCACCGCGTGGAGCCCGTCTACCTGTTTCCACTTTAAACAAACTATTGCCATAGAAGCCAAAACGACGTAAAGTGACTAACGGCCATGACAATCTTAAAGGTGGTGGTGGAAGACGAGGTTTGACATCTTCAGGGTACCTACAAAATTAACTAATTTTTAAGTTTCAGATACCACAGGTTAATATTTATCAATAACTAAAAAAAATAATCTTGGCCGCAGTAAATAGCACTGGATAGTATGTTACTGAATATCAAAAATTCAGTCTCATTTGTTTTTCACATTATTTTACATTCAATAAAATGTACAAATAGAACTTTGATTGAATCGATGAGCCCCAAAACATTCTACTTCACACCACTAAGTGATAAAATAAGAAACGCTACTATAGAATTGACGATTTTAGTTAAGACGAGTGGGGTAAAATGCTACACGAAGAAATAGGAAGGAGAATTTTATAGCCACCACCACATAGTATCGTTAAACGCTATATGATAACAACAAGAACGAAAACTTAGGGGTTATTTCAGAAGCGACAAATAGGCCTAAATCATTAATTGGGGGAGAGGTTAAGCAACTGCGCAAGACCCAAGGTCCTGGGTTCGGGCCCCGCTGGTGGGATCGATGGTGCGCACCGCTGAAGAATCCCGTACTAGAACGAAACTATTGACCAGTGTTTCAGGGTTTTCAATTATGGTTTAAGATTGGTCGATTCATGACCTCAACAAAAATACTTAGTCTGACCAATTAGTTTCCTCCAATAGACCATGTTGACAAAACAGGAGCAGAATTAAGCCTAACAGTAGAGTTTTAATCCATCGAACAGTGAGTGACTCATAAAATTGATATAGTCCAATAATTTGTGACACTTAGTGTATAATCATTTTATTCTTATTACAGAAAAACACTTCTATCAGAGGGCTATTTTGTCACTTAACATCTTTTCTATTAGAAGCTGACGTTAATAATTTGCACTTATCACTAAGTAATAATCGTAACATGGAATATTATCAAGTGATAGATTATCACTACATCCATTCACCGAATAACCTTCAAAAGTATTTCGTAACAAATTATAAAAGGTCATTATATGTGAAAATTATATTTGAAATAATCTCAGCAATTGAAAATTACATAATTACAATTGCTGAAATTATTTCAAATATAATTTTCACATATAATGACTTCTCTATACTCGGCGCCCTATTTCTGTCAAACTATTCGTTCTAATCTTGATGAATATTCATATAAAAAGTTCATTTGTAACACATGTAGATGTCATATACGTATGATAGAAGGCTTACCAAGAAATATATCACAATAAAAATAGAAACATTTGGCTTAATATTGTATATGAAATGAAGTTAAAATATGAGGTACATTTGATAAATTAAGAAATGCAGAGATAATATGATTTGATTTTTAGAAAAATCAAAACGCTACCGCAAAGGTTCGGTTTGCAATAACTAATCACTGATTTATTTAAACACATAAACATTGGTACAAGGAAGCACCAAACATATATGCGCCACATAAATCATTCGATGTTTGTGAGGGTTAGGATACTATCCGGGTGCTAAAACTGAACCACTTAATTTTCTTAGGGCGCCACACCCCGAGCCTTTGACCTGAAGGTCTAATCCACAAGGTAGTGGAGCAACGTCACGAGATGCAGTCCCATAGTAACCGGTGACCAACCATTGCTTCATACACCATTTGTTTCTGTTGTGACTTTACGTCCAGCTAGTTATCACGTGATTTACCCACCAATAAAAATACGACTTATACAATCTTAGCACTGCCAACTCAATGACGTTCGATCGGTAAGAGCAGCCTAGCGTCCTTATTGGTCCTATGTTCGCCTAGTTCGTCCACTTGAGTCCAGAACACCAATATCAGCTTCCACTATACGAATCGAATCATTTATTTCAGACATACTGGGTTTATATATCAACCAAACAGACCGCAACGCACCATACAATAGGAAATAACATTTGTACACAATAAAGCAGAAAAGTGGCTGTGGACGTGGGAGGCAGTAGTCAATAAACTGAACATAGCTTAAGAACAGTAAATCGTACAACAATATATAAGTCAAAATAAAGCTTATAACAAGGGGAATATAGAGATACATAATTTAGTTACTAAATATTTATACCATGAGAATATATAAATATTATTAGTCCATTAATAGGTCTCAGACGTTACTCGTAATGTAATCTTCACTAAGATATAACAGTTTCCTTAGAATCCTGTAGTCCATGTACAGCATTGGTCCGGAATCAAGGTTTTCTACTCCCCTAGGTGGATTCTCCGTATCCGCCAACCCGGTTAAAGCACCGGACATTTGCTTTCTGTCCTCTTACTTTCGTAAAAAACGCCCCCGTCGCAAGAGGGCAGTGGGTAGGATTTCCCTGAGAGTGGCTGTATACGCGTAGTCATGTGAGAGCATTTGGATAAGGAGAGCTGACTCTCCTCATTTTCGGCCCTACCAGGGAATTTGGGGGCGGTTTAAAAAACAGAAATTTATTAAAATTAAATGTATAAATATGTAAATACCGATTGTTTCTTACTTTATAAAGAATTTAAATTGAACAATGAAAAACATTGTCGAGTATTAAGCTCTGTTGATGTCGAAATAATTATGATTACAATTATTTTTTTAAAAACTAGATTGAGAAAAGGTTAGGACTATGCTGTTTATTAGATACTGCTGTTAACACGGTCCTTGGATTATTTACGTAATGTTCACTGACGTGTAAGATGTACACGATTTTAGGAACTTTGACCTTCAGTTTTTCTAATAAAATAAATAGACCAATTTATAATGATTATTCTTAAGGATAAGTTCTCCTGTATTCGTGATACCGCCTATTAAGCCACTAGATATATATATAATAGTGTTACTAGATGACAAAATAGAACCATCTATAGCTGGATGAAATAGTACAACAGTTCAAATTATCTACCTGTTACGGATATTCTATAATAGATAGAGACAACCAGTAGGAAAGATAAACAATAAAGGTGAATGTTACAAAACGTATGAGAAGACGAAAAATAAACCAACTGAAGTAAGATAAAATGGCAAATATTTAGATGGGAAATAAAAGTGCATTTCTCGTGGTGATCAAAAATCAACTACAAGCAAGCATACTACTTTTCTTACGAGCACTTTATAAATTAGTAAAACATCTTAATCTGACAAATGACAATTTTGCCAGCCTGTTTTCATTGGGGCCAACAGTATTCAGAAAAGCAGATGATGTTACAATTACTAGGATTTACTTCGATGTTTCTTTCTTAATAGGCGTATGCAAAGGACTTGATTTTCGACCTGATGATAAACAGTTGACGAAAATCAAACATCTTGATATTTTAGGCTTTTCGCCCAACAAGTCTAATATCTTCTATGAACTGTGGGATGTTTCAAAAACATTTTGCGAATTTGGACATGAATTGATGACAATGATAATGTTATGATATCTCTTTTGTTTATTATTAATTTATTTGGACACATAAATATTGGTACAAAGGGATACCAAATACATATGCGCCACACAATAACAATGAGAATGAGAAGAGATAGAGAATGTAAAGCGTGTATAAGAAAAAGGAGAGCGATAACGAACAAAAATTAGTGTATGATAGTATAATAATAATAAGAAGAAGAATGGGAGACGTAGTTCAGTTAGCAAAGGTACAACCAGTAAGAATTCTCCCAGCTAAAAAAGTCACGTTCATTTTTTATGAAGAGAGTAAAAGAAAGTGTTATATGGAGCTTATATTCTTTGATATACCACGTACAACTTGAGAACTCGAACGCTAGAACCCTCCAAGTAGTAAATGAGAAGACAGAAGACGAGAAGGAATGTTATTCCAAAAAGTGTCAAATATGGTGCAAAACTCTCAGGTATTTATAGTTTTTAGGAAAAGCGAAATCATCATTACAGTCATCCGATCTGCATACAGCGGTTTTTAAGCTTTTGCCCAACAAGGAAGCTACCAGTCGAGATTCTGGAACGTTCTCTCAAAAGATGATTGGGTAGAATGACTCCGGCTCTTTCTGAGCGTTTTAGAGCTTCCTTGAGTTCATCCATGGGCCGTCCTTACAGAAAGTTACAACAGGATCGCCACTGCATTCTATTTTGAGCCATATCTGAAAAACGTCTCTAGCCACTGTGTTGTACCATCTCTCGGACCCCAACAAGAAGTCGTGAAGGACCAATAGAAGCCAGCCATGTACAGCTTTCTTTCATACCACGACACCGTGTCATACATTGACTATCTTTCCGCCTTTTCCAACTAGTCCCAGCGTCGGAAAATAATGCACGACGTGGAATTCTCTGGGATGACACTCGTAGAACATAACCAAGCCACCGAAGTCGATGTTTCAAGATAGTGAGAACAATTGAATTATCGTTGCTGTGCCTGAACACACGATGCCGAACCTCTGCATTACTAACATGGTATTGCCACTGGATGTCAGCAATTTTTCGGAAACAACAATCAATAGACACAGAAAGTCATCTAACATTCTCAACTCAGAGAGGCCAGGTTTCGCAAGCATATTATTAAAACCCAGCTATTTTTATTGTTCAGTATTCTTTGGACACTTTACTTCACTCAACAAGTCCTCAAATCAGAACACTGTTGAACAAGAACGTAATTATATTCTAACCAAACACAAAAGGATCGGAGTAAGAATCACAATTAAGGAAAACGTTAGTATATTTATAATTTCACACGAGAAGATTCTAGAGTCTTCTCCAGGAATCCGTTAGCGCTGATAGGCTAAGAAATGATCGGTCAGCCTGCCCCAACACAATACTACACGGAAAATGCTTTAATCCAATCTAAATTCCTCCAACAGATAACCAATGAAGAATAAAAATGATAGATTAATACGATAAATGTGAATTACACATATATTATAGAAACAGATATAGATGAAAAAATTACCTGTTTGTCGATACATAAGGATTATCCACTAGTGAAGCTGAGCATTTCTGTCCAACCGTATCTGAATTCCCCAAATAAGAACCATTTTCAAGAAATGAAGAAATCGGTAATGGACGCTGAATTGAGCAATGCAGTTTCGGATTGTCAAGGAATCGTTCTCTATTAGTTTCTAATGTTAATTTATCAAAAAATATGTACATATGCTTAAGGAACATTGTATGAACAATTGAAATACGTTACTTTACTATAAAAAAATTATTTTTAGAAAAACCAATCTTGTATGGGTCTTGCATTAATGGATTTTGGATAATTTAATAAATTTCATTGGTTTGCATAAAAAATGGAGGACCGACTTATCATTAAGTCTTCTATGCATTATTACATTTCATTAAAGGAGTGCACACGACTAAATTGACAAATGCTATCTGTCCACGAAGTAACTTAATAACCAATCCTAAGTTAGTATACTAAGCCGTGAGCTACAAAATTCAGGTAAAGATTCGTTCGAATCTACGGGTCAGCCGTCGAAAAAATAGATGTTTAGACTAATAAGACAAGACCGAACCAACCTTTACTGCTAAAGCATGCATATATATATATATATATATATATATCACCAAAAGAAGCACAATAGATTTATATCTTTACTTATATATCTTTCAGTCAGTCAGTAACAAAGTAGAACTTCGTACGTACGTACATCAGTTCAAGTTGCCATACCACATTAGCACAGAGATACAGTTGTCGATTCGAATCCCGTAGTGGTAGAGGTAGTAAGAGTATAAACAGTAATCAGAAAGATTAGGGTTTGAAGATGTACTTCTTTGGTACTCCTTTCAGTAACAAACATTGCCACAGAACTTCACGATCAACAGAGTCAAATGCCGCCTTAAGGTCAAGAAACACTACGATTGTGGGGCGTCTGAATATGTGTCTATGTTCTAAGACCTGACGTAGTGTGAATATCTGGTACCGAGATTTGAACCTAGGCTTTCCTGAAAAGTAATCATGCTGATACAACTATGCCAAATAGATTGCTAATGAATTACATTTATAGCTACTAATTAATATGGGTTTTTTGTCAAACGAAGGTTGATGTTATCTATAAGATCAACGGTAATGTTAATATAACAATCTAGAGGTCAATACCTGCTCACTAAATGTTCCAGACAAATATGTTGATAACTTGAAGTTTGTGACTTCACTTCAATAATTTCACATACAGAAACTCACAAAGTAAAACTACAATTATTTGTAACAATACAAAGTGATTACTGAAACAATATTTAAGATATTAAGACGACTGAAAATCAAAATGTTTAGAATCATAATTCGACGAATCATTTATTCTTCGTGGTCATGATGTTATGGCAAGTTGATGCATTGTCACTATAGTGAGACTTACGATGAAATATTGGAGCAACACAGTCGCTAGTTGGTCCCAGCATTTGTTGATCGATGAGCAGAAATGGAACATGTGACCTCTTGCTTACAGCTTGGAAGACCAAATTCCCATGTTCTACGAACAAACACCCGTTAATATGACAACCTTCAAGTTCTGTATACTGAACTGAACTTGAATTACGAATATCCATTGTAGAAAAAAAATCCTTCAATGTGGATTGGTTTTTTGTGGTGTCAGAATGTCGAAGCAACGTCGCAACTTGTGACCGTGTTGGGGCGCAGGAACGCTTTGGTAATGTGATCAGCGGAGATCCTACTGATTCAAAATTACCTTCAGTTTCAGCACAGTGTGATTGAGTTGCAGACAAAGCTGTGAAGTCTCCATGTATACGGATCTCTTTCATCTGATTTGAATACAATCTTCCCAGCCAAATACCACAGAGCTCAGCAGGATGATGATCTTCCAAACGTGACGTGTGAATATCTTTTGTACAAACATCGTTGTAAGCAGATCCACAAAAACGACAATGACGAGTTTCTGAATTCCTCTGAAGAACAGAATAACCGCCTGGGGTATCTATTAGTGAATTTATAGCGCCCATAAACAATTGCCTAGAAAATCAAAGGAAATAATATAGTAGGACGTTACGTGGAGTATGACATTTAACTAGATTTCACTACTTAAGACACGAATTTGTAATATCTAGTACTATGTTACGCCCACACCAGTTATTCTAGCTTTCGGACAGACCAATTAACTTATTCTTCTCAAGTTACTGTCAATACCATCTTTTCACCATGTCAATTAATCACCTACAACCTTGACTTTTTTATGTGTATGTGTATCGCTTACCCTATTCATGTATATTAAGCTTACTTTTGCCTGGCTATAAATAGTGAGTCACGCCCAAGCAAATGGAGTTGGCACACTTCTCTGTCTTGCTTTGCCGCTTCCCATTTGTTTGCCTGAGTAAACGAAAGCCTGAAATAAATTCATCCAGCAACCCATATTTGGCTTCTCATTACGGCAGTCACACAAGCGGGGTCAGCATAGGTGTAGTATACGGGATTAAACTGGAAATTTATATTCACGGTATATGCAATCGCACCGTGCAAATTAGTCAGATCAACAAGAGCTACCAACTTTTAGTAGCTCACCAATTTAGTGGTCCGTGCAGATTCAGATAAGAACAATGATTACTGAAGCGTATAACTTGTCATGGTAACAAAAGATAAAAATGGAGGTCACTTCCGACTCTACTATACGATGTTTCTAGCATTACCCAAAGGTTCATTAACAAGAGAAAAATGTACATTATTTCTTCCTCAGACTGAAAAAGGGATTTGCGAATACCACAATTACAGATACTGAGTGCTGAAAATTAGGGGCGATTGGTACAGTTTTTGTGCCACAACTTAATGGTGTCTCCTGAATAGTGAATGTTGTATTACTTCTATAGATAGAAATATCAACCGCTTTAAATACTTTTATAAGAGCAGTTACTGAAATGCCAGTGTAAACGGATTCCAAAATCAGACTAAAATGTCCCGGCTGGTTCGATAGAACTGAAGCAAGGCAATCAATATTTTTACACATGCCATTTATCCACAAGGCTTGTAAAATGCTAGGTTCTATAAGTTTTTTTTACCAAATAATTATAAACCATGATTCCGTTCAATCTACTAGGCATAACATGTGTGAGGAAATGGCATTTATTGGTCCCTTAAACATGTAGCGGTTTTAGTGTTTAGGGAAGGGTGAAAATGTGATTGATGTACTTACAATCTGAGTATAAAACCCGTCTTCTGCTAGTCAACTTTTCATTAGTTTTGTATGGTTTGATCACTATGGCACCACTCAATATTTGAGATGCAAGACATACTCCAATTCCTGAAGAAGCTACGTACACATTTTTAGACTGAAATACCATCAAGCGAGTAAGACTATTTCTTCACTTTCTTAAGTCTTTCGTTATCCGGCCCAACTACCCTTATTGGTTGGTATTATTCAGACACTAATTCACTCGACAAGTCCTCAAATCAGAACACAGCTTGGAAAAGTATTTAATTATATCCTAAATAAACACGGTAGGATTGGAGTAAGAATCACAATAAGAAAAACGTCAGTATATTTATAATGTTATGTAAGATTCTTGAGTCTTTCTCGTGTATCTACCGTAGCCGAGTGACTGAGAATGGGCCAGTCAGTATCCCCCAACACAATTTATCATGGAACATAATTAGATCAAATGTATGTCGTGCTAATGCTCTCAGAACAATTTGACTGGCATCCAATTAGGGAAATTACATTCTTATGTGAAGAGCAGAGAGGTTGGAGTTTATCAGGACCAAATCCCTACAGCCCTAATTTCACCAGTTACTCAAATGCAAATAGGAGTTTAATGGTCTTAATTGTCTGTGTCAGGCGTTCAATCAGTCAGCTACAACACAGGACCAGGCACATATATGTACCGGTCCAAGTTGCTATATCTCATTAACACAACAAAATGAACACCAAGTTAATAGAAGTACTTAATTCAATCGTGGTAATATGTAAAAGAAAGATTGCATATCACGATATAGTACAGGAAGAAAGAATTAGTTGGTAGAAAGAAAGATATGAAGTGATTTTATCTCTTAGTTTAAGGGAAGACAGAGAGTGTATACACCTACGCCATTGTGATCGCTTCTGAGCCATGTCACCCACAGTCTCCAACCATTGGTTACAATAATCACGCGGACCCCAACCAAGTAGTCTGCATCTACCAACATGGCTCAGATTAGAAGTTAGTGACTTCAAGCATTGATGCCACGTTTTGGTTTGGCCACCCGAACTTTCTTCTAACCATCCCCAACACTAGTCAGCATTGAGTGTCGTGGTAATCGGTGTCCAGGCATGCGTAACACGTGGCCCAACCATCTCAGACGATGAAGATTTACAACGTTATCAACTGACTTATCATCACTCCCTAATACCCTGCGTATAACCTTACTTTTACTTACACGATGATCTCAGCAAATGAGAGCAATATTTCCAAAACATCTGTGGTCAAGTACTAGTAACTTACGAATATCTACTCCTAATGGCCACGTTTTGCCTACGTACAAACTATTAGCATGGAAAATAAACGTGATCTGGTGTTAGAAACAATTGAAGAAATCAGTTTTGTAGGTCGTCCAGTCAGGTGAATTAAGATTTGATTGTCAGGTCTAATTTTTGACCATAATACCAAGAACCAGGCAGATCTCGGCATCAAATAAAGTTGATACAAATCTCTGAGATGATATTATCGAGATAATACCGAATAGTAGTAACATCCTTAGTAGCAAACAATGACCAGATATTGGAAAGGAATTAATTCACAACTACATTTCCCTATTATATAACGCATGTTGGATTTGATGCCGTTATACCAATATTTGTGTTTCAGTAAACTTAAGAAACGAAATGAACAAAATAATTTTGATACAAAGGACCTGTGAGAAAACAAAGACTGGATGCATCTTAGCTACTGTGATTAACGTCGTACCACGTCATTCAATTGTGACCGTCCCCATCGAGCGGACGCCTACCAAGCTGTCTGAAACAACCAGCACTACCCAAACCAAGTTGGTGAAATCATAGACTAACGTCACATTCTCATTCGATGTCCCTAACTTTTCTCCATTTTCTTTCTGCGTCAGTTCAAATCGAACATTTAGGTATATGTAATAAATGTCTTGACCACCCTGGTTGATGAAGACTCACTATCTTATCGACCGATTCCCAATTCTAGCTTCATAATTTGTGCTTAGCCTCAACAGTCCACCTTCAGTCGTTCCACGATACGAAATGATTTGGAGACACTTATGTTTGCATACCAGTAACCTATGGATGCTTTCTATTTTAAACAGCCACAAATTTAGAAAGCGAACAAGTAAATAGCATACACTTTCGCCGAATAGACATTTCACTATTGGAGTTACGATAGTAACACAGACCCATACAAAGCTTTCGGTCTCGCAAGCTTCTTAGGTTGGAATATCTGAACTTTTTATTTAGATAAATGGAATCGCGTGTACATTACTTGTGTTAGAAACTGTCAGTGCCTCCACTCTGAATCACAACTCGACTTCAGAAGTCATAAAATTAAGCATCGCTCTACAGACCCTATTCTCCAAGGACAACTACACTTGTCATATTAAGCACTACTCAATTTACTACATAAGCACGTCTCCAGTGAGCACTTTTTTCCCACAACTGCGTAAAAACTGCAACACGCAATTACCACAAAAAGAAGTGTGCAGCTGATAAGTCCTGTTCAACTACCAACAGAATTTCTAGGGCTGAAAACTGTCTGGAATCCAGTTTATTTACAACTGAAACGCATTGTTATTCTATGTCCGAAGACTGATGTTCAGTAGTGGCTGAACAGAATGTGAGTAAAAATCCCGAAAACATTGTGCTCAGTCAGCCATCTACAAACACTTGCTGATAATGTGAAACCACTTAGTCCCTAGACATGTGTGGTTACTAGGCATCGAGTAAAGAACAAGAGAGAAGGTGGACCGAGTTTCTCCTGCGAGGTACGTACCTTAAGGTACGTAATTTATGGTGACGTACGATCCCACTGAAATGTACTTGGTTCGAATTATCTGGAACACTCGGTCATATTAGTAAGAACTATGAATGAGGCAATAAATTCGAAAATATTTATATGCCACAAAGACTGATATAGATACTTACCGACGATCGTGATTATCAACCAAGTTGCGAAATTCGCCTTGATTTGAAAAAGACGGGTGGGGCAAATGTTGGGATACAATTAATTATAACGAATATCATTTCAGTTAATGACTTTAAAACTCAGGAATACCTGTTGTATTTCTTGTTTCACTGGTTCTTTTATGTAATGATATCTACTCGCTGCTTAATTGAGCATATCATTCTAATTACGAAGTAATATCAGTGTCCGTGGTTCAAATGACTATAGAAGGGATTGAAGCATTCGATTAATAGGTTTCTACATCTGAAAGCAGGAGATCAGTATTACCTCCAGTTACGGACCTAGGAGTACTTGACAGGTAAAAAGGAAGTATTAATAAGTCATATGGGTTAATAGTGCAGTGAGATGTCACTGTGCCCCAGCCAACTAATTCTAACAGTGAGATCACCAAATGTCGAACATTTCACCGATCCTCGTCAAAGTCAAGAACAACAAACGTGCATCAGCTAATTTCACACCATGGACCGGCCCATGCAGCAGTGGCCGCACACTGTTCCTTTAACATAACTTTACTAATAAAGTCGTTAGTGTTGTGCGGTCACCGAAGTAGCCAATAGTATCTGTATTCGATGGAAAGGCAACCTACGTTAGACAATAACCACGAGAAGTGACTTTGAATTCAGCTGGTTGTTCACAGCATTTTCATCTAACTCGAGAAGATTCTCAATAATTCGACACAGATCATCTGCGTTGATGATCTACAAGTTCTTAAGAGTATATTGAGTTTCGTCATCCAGAACTCCCGTGAAGTTGCCCGGACTGCCTTGACCGGCAGAGGGAATTCGGTACTATTTAGCAGTAGAAACTGTGCGCATAGTCTATTTCGCTGTGTTTTGCATCCAATTTCTGAACAATGCACCCAAGGCTTGTGTGATGACAGAATATTGTAGTGTTGGTTATTATGTTAAGCATATATGCCTTATTCTGGCCTTCAGACAGGCCCATCTACTCATTATAGTTGAGTCATTTATTGACCTTGTCAAGTGCTCGCTTATCAATCCTGACTGTTCTAATATGAGCGTATGTGTGACTATAAATACTGATTAAATAGAGTTGGCTCACACGCCTTCTGTACTCCGTGTCATTTCGATTCATATACAAAATGTATGTATTCGAAAGTCCATTCTCGGTATTTGACTTATTTAATTCCGTTATTTACTCAACGCACATTAAGTCAATTAAGATATACGAGAATAGTCAGGGTATACATATTTCGACAGATAACATTTGTACGATCTAATCGGCGTCAGATTCCAGGCCGCGAATGTGATGAGCCTGTCGACGACGAACCTAACGCAACAAGCTACGTCGAAAAGGGCTTCTGCACATTATACATTCGACGAACAAGCTCAACGGATCCAGCCCAATCTATAGTCCAAAGCACTTAGCGAAGCCTGTGCAGCACGACATGGACATGCTCAAAGCGTATTATCGTGTTGATACCTTATCCTCGTGTCAAATTTTATCGCTGATCCTGATATATCGCGATACGAATAGTGAATGGTAACTTTTGGGATCCATTTATGGACCTATACTATGAGTATATTTTTATTGTGTAATTGTTATTTAACTAAACTGTTCATATTCATGTCGCTCTTATCATGCGCTTTATTTTAACTTATGAACTGTTATTATACGATTTACCATTCTTGAATTATTCCCTGTCTTTTATACACTACCTCCCACATTCACAGCCACATTTGGCCAAATCTTGTACAAATGTTATTTTCTATTTTATGGTACATTGTGGTCTGTTTGATTGGTATATAAACCCAGAATGTTTGAAATAAATTATTCATATTGCAGAGGCTAAGATTGGTATTCTGGACTTAACTGGCTGGGCTAGACAGAAAGCGAGACCAATCAGGACTCTAGGCTGCTTGCATGTGTTTTGTGCGTCATTGGTCCGATCGATAATTCGCTGCTCTCTGACTGGCGGTATCGTTGAGTTATCCAATATACAGGGCACACGGGTTCACAAGTTATGACAGATCCATCTGGCAGACCATTCCATATGATTCAAATTATCATCATATGCTCATTATTACATTAGTGTCCTATCATGAATGAATGTGGAATTATTATTTTTGTTCGTGCTGATATTTACTCAACTGCATCACTCAACCATCGAATTATAGTGTTATTAACATCCGATTCACGTTATGACATTTGCAACTCACTGGACTATTTCCATCAAAAAAAATAACGCAGAATTTTCCCGCTCTAAGTAAGTTTGTTCCATTTTTTCCCCATGTAATTTTTACCTAATATTACACTCATTCACTTAGTTGAGGTCATTTTTTATGTTATCATACCACACATTCTAAATTTCGGTATTTCCTCTTATTATGTCCACTGATGCTTCGAAATTTACAAGCTGATTGGTAATGATTACGCTCATCTTATCTATTCGTCCACATGTCCAACTGCATGCTACATCAATCATCAATCAAAAACATTATTCGACTACCGCAAATACTATTTTGTTCCCATCGCACTGTATACCAGAACATAGAGTATAGTGCTAGTCTCTCAAAGACACACTCTTGTTCATCAAATCCAAGTCACTCTCACTGGCTGCCATCTTTAATCATATGTCTTGGAATTTTTATCATGCCTTGGGGGGTTTTCGTAACAAAGGAATACGATTCTACGTACCTCATCTCCCCAATTACTATTATGTTCCTCTGATCATTCTACTAATGCATATTTAATGACAACTCAATGCATATGTCATAAACTCAAACGACAAGGTATACTGACTTCACATTCTATGATTATTATCAATCGTAGTAGAGCAACGGATATCACCTGTCGATGCATTTATCATTTCACAACTTGGCTATTTTTATTCTATTAACGGGGACTCTACGTATATAAATTTGAATCCACCCATCGATACGCGACGCTACTTACTCTAATGCGGCTCATTAGAGCATGTTCATATATCACTATTCTGTCGGCATCACAGACCAATTCGGCGAGACTCTAATTTAGGGACGAGCCAATCAGAAGCGTTTGAGCAATTTCAATTATTAGCCAATCAGAAGACAGTATAAAGTAAAAATATATTACAGGAAAGTAATGAATTACAGTGGATATTCTTCTTTTACATGATTAAAAAACTTGTTAAGGTTTGATAAAGGTTCAGAAGTTCTGAATTCATAATGCATACGGTATAGAAACTCGTCCATAGGGTTAGGGTTTAGGGTTAAGATTAGGGTTAGGGTTAGGTTAGGATTAAGGTTAGGGTTAGGGTTTAGGGTTAAGGTTAAGGGTAGGGTTAGGTTAGGGTCAGAATGCTAACATGAGATCGTTTTACATCGGATTTTAGGAAAGAGATGTTTACTGAGAGGCTACAACCCTAACCCTAATCTAAACCCTAACCCTGACCCTAACCGTAACCCTAACCCTAAACCCTAACCCTAACCTAACCCTAATCTTAACCCTAACCTAACCCTTACCTTAACCCTAACCCTATGGACGAATTTCTATACCGTATGCCTTATGAATTCAGATCCTCTGAACCTTTATCAAACCTTAACAAGTTTTAAAATCATGTAAAAGAAGAATATCCACTGTAATTCATTACTTATAATATGTTTTCACTTTATACTAACTGTCTTCTGATTGACTAATAATCGTCAACGTCATTTAAGATTCGTTCAAAGGTCGTCCCTAAATTAGAGTCTCGCCACCAATTCCCGTCATATTCTACTATACTTATTTTGACGATTCATTCTATCGTCATACCCACAAACGATTTATTACTGTTTACACGATATTTTGAATCGCTCATACAAACTCGTTTTTTTATCGTTCAAACAGTTATAAATGTGTGTTAATTTTTTGTACGCTTATTAATTACCTCATAGTTGCATGCTAACATTTTCATTTTTGTCCGCACCCTTGCGATATTCACGTATTCTTTTACATAAGTATGACACTTTCGTATAAAACACTTAAACCTCATGTGACACTGTACTTTACTGGATGTAATACAATTTTTTTCGCTACTTAATGTCAACGTTAACCTCATACTTCTTCAATATTATTTGTGAAAACGGGTATTATTTTCAAATGCTCTATTTTCTGTACACCGTAGGCAACATGGATTGCTATTTTGTTTTGCATACTCTTTCCATCATCTTAGTATTTCAGTATCGGTTTTGGCCCACAGTTCTGGAAAGCTTTTACTACTTATACAGTGCCTTTAATGTTGGTGCAAAATTTTTATAAGTTGAATTGTTCTTTTCATACATTTGTCGTTTATTAAGTTGAAGATGCCACAGGTATTCGAAGTTTGACAACGCTTTAACCAGTAACACCTAATATTAATCGTACACACCAAGTGAAATCAAAAGACAGAGGCAAAGAGGTTCAAAGATATATTTGATAGGCTGTCAATATATCGAGAATCGTCCGATCCAATCGGGCTAGCTATTGCAAGGGTTGTTAAGCAAGGCGTCCTCACTCATGATTTGATGCGGATGCATGACCGAGCGCCTCCAGTTAGTTTAGTCCATTAAAAGCAATGTGGTCAGCATCCAGTGTCAAAGACTTACAGGGCTCTTTATTTTGAGGATCTATTTACCGCAACATAGTGTCTGGCGTTTTCGGAGATCAAGATTTGATTCACTATAAAAAGCTACTACTTAGATGTTCTATTCTGCTAAAAAAATTTACAGCGTTAGTTGTCACTTTTAGTACGAATTTCTGCGTCAGTTGGCTAGGATGGTAGGGCCAGTGAAATGTCACTGAGCCCTAGCCAAATCATCTGGCAGTTGGATCACTGAATGTCGAACAGATCATCGCTCCCTGCCAAGGTCATGTACAAGCAACGCGCATTAGTTAATCATACGCCATGGACTGGCCCATGCGGCAGTGGTCTTAATTTCGCCTGTATCTACCTTAACTAATATATTTCTGTAATAACGTCCTTTGTGTTGTACAGTCTTCAAAGCATCTATAGTACCTTGTTACGTCAATGGGGGTAGTCCACGTAAGGTGCTGACCACGAGGTGTGACTTCG